GACTTTATATATTTATATATACAAACGACATGTGATATGAAAAGAGAAAAATGCATTTTTCAGTGAACATGCGCATCATATATAAAAGTGATATGAAAACTTGAATAAGTTGAACAATAACTTCATAGTAGTACATAGCAATTGAGAGAGTGTATAAACTTTATATTATAAAGTAGTAGAAATAAAATTGCTGTGCGCTCATTTTGAGTTCAGTGTCTAAGTGAACCTAAGGTGAATGGCCTAGCTGGATTGCATCATGTTCCTGAAGAGAAATCCGGGTAAAACATGGTGAAATTAGTGTCCCGCTGCCTTGAGAAAAAGCTTTTCGGAGAGAGTTTGTTCCTGAAATTTATGATTTTTCCTGTTCTTTGACTCTAGTTCAAACCTTGTACAAGAAGCAAGATTTCTTGACAGAAAATAAATTTCATTGTGTTTCTTCAGATCAAGATCGTGATAATAATGTAAAAGAAAACTTCCACTACTTTGTAAATTATGCGGATTTTATAGAAATCATATTAGCGCTGACGATTTCATAGATATAAAATTCTCAACTATTACATGTATGAACCCTTTCAAAATCAAAAGTGAGAATTAATTTCAAATCAATTTCGATTTTCTTGTCTATTTTTGATTCCGCGTTCCTTTTCTTACATTTTCTCGACTTTCGCAGAAATATCTTGCTCAAAGGTTAGTTCGACTTTCCTCACAAAGTTCTAACGTTAGTCGGACTAAATAGAAATAAAAATAAGACTGAAGAGAAAAGAAAATGGAAGTTGCCTGCAGTAAGAAACTAACCAACAATTCTGCTTTATTTAAAAGAAATTTTCATAGAAATTAAAGATTAATAGTAAAAAATAAAAACTACGTTTTGACAGAAGTCTGAGAAAGATACCAAGACGTGAAGTGAATATTTATCGTCTGCTGTACACTTTTTAACGAACTTGTTTATAGTTCTTCGCTTTTGATCTTTATACCATAGGCGGCGGAGCCTGTAGGCTCGTTAGGCTTGAGCCTTACCTGAATTGAACTTTGTTCGCTGTCGAATTTGACTCTGTTCGATTGAACGAACTTTATTTTAGTATCGTTACTAACGACCTTATACTGAGCCTTACCTGATTTGAAAACGTTCCGCCGCCCCTGCTTTATACTTTTGAAGAACTGCTGAATCAAATTATTGACTTTATTGCACGATGTTTTACCCGGTTTTTTCTGCGGGAACATCATGCAAAAAGGTGATGATTCGAAATTAATGTACGTTCACACTAAATTTGAGGTTTATTTATTATTTGGCGAGTGGGTGGCAGAACAAAACTTTTCATTTTTCGGACATGCTTTCCACTAAAATAACTTTTTGTTTGCTAGACATTTTTATATGGGGAAGCTTGATTACATCATGTTCACGAAGAAAAGTTCGAATAAAACATGATGTAATCACGCTTAAAAAAACGAATTTTAAACCATTGGAAAACGCGGGAGATACAATGCATAACTTTCTTGAAATACGCGCTTGGATTCTCTGAGATATGCGCGTATCTCGAATTAGTCGTTCCATAAAGAAAATCAGCCAGCTAATTAGTATGACGTGTTCTATGATCTACGACTTAATTTTAATTAGTGCAGAAAGCAACTTCTTTGATCTGTTTTGCGCTTATTCTACGCGCTGGAGCATGCTGAATTTAATTCTAATATTTTCAGCTCAAGAAATAGTGTAGTTTCGCTAAATTTTGGTACATATGATACACTACGTCTTGCATAGTGTAACCATTGGTTTTTATGGCGCCAATGACAGCGTTGCTATAGGCCATACGAATGAATTTCGCTATAAAGAGTCGAAAAAGTTCAAACAAAAAAGGGTTTAATCAAACTTTCTCGATCGCCAGAGCATATAGCCTAGACTATATGGGTAAAAGGAAATCGAATAAAAACACGCGTCTCAGAAGTTTTTTTTTTTCATATGAGGTAGCTGAACTATTTGCATAGTTTATGATATCAAAAACATATTAAAATCAATACACCAGTAATCACTAATGTGATAGAGTCAAGGAAAAGTCTTGGAAAGAGTGCACGAAAGATTCCGTCACGACACCTATTTTACTCATAAAAATCGTTCTACTTAACCGACGCATTCGAAATTTTTACCACAAACCAAGCATTCTACCGCACATCTCTGATAAAAATTTCGTCATCTTTTGTTCAGCATTTGAGGAGAAACAGAGCCCAAAAGTTGAAAAAATGTAATTCCGTCACGCACGTTTAAGCCGTTCTATGTCATACAATAGTAAGATTATCAACATACAAGTTATTAGACCGAACCGCTCAACTTTGCTAAATTCAAAGGAGTGGGGCGGATAAGGCCATTTTTCGGCCCTGAATATTTTTTGATGAAAACCATCGGATTAGAGGTTATTCGACATGCTGAACAAAATGGCGTTACCGTTTTTCGAAATTTAGACTTTCTATTTTTTCGACCTGTGGTACCCCTCAGGAAAAGTGAAAAATTATTTTTCTCTGATCTTTTAAAAAAGACATGTAATCGATGCAGAATTTTGCGCTGATTTCGAACGAAATGAGGTTACAATGTTATATTTATAGAATATAGACAACTTTTTATGTTCTTTCGAATGGAACTAGTTTAAAAAATATAAAATGAGGACTTTTGGTAAAATCCAATTTTTTCGATTTTTTGAAGTGATTTTCCTATGTTTTTTGATTGAAATAAGGTTACAATGTTATAGTCATAGAATATAGACAACTTTTTATGTTCTTTCGAATGGAACTAGTTCAAAAAAATATAAAACGAGGATCTTTTTTTAAAAATCAAGGAACAAAAGATGAAGAAAAGAAACAGATATTGTTTGGTCTTGTTTTCTAATCATATACAAAATATAGCGGACATTCGTGGAGCTATATTTCCTACCAAATAGAACTCATGTTAAAGTATATAAAACATCACTGTCGTCGTTATCGTCATCTGTCGAACTCAAATCTGATAATTCATTTGCATCTTTAAAGTAATTAATATAAGTGTTTGATGGTGTATTTAATTTTTTCGTATCATATCATGCTATTCCCAAATACCACATAATACTGGCAACATGACTACAACAACCAACTGTACGATTACCATTTGGACATTCACAACAATATCCTGTTACAGTTTTTCTATTATATTCAACAATTACATTATAGTTTTTTCGATTACTATGTTTAGATTGAATATTTGCGCGTAATAGATTACTGTTATCGGTTGACACAAGTATTTCATATTGTCCATCTTCATTAATATGTTCTGTACTGTAACTTTTAGCCTGTTTAATTTGAAATACACCAATTGTAATGTCTTGTAATTCAATTTCTGACAATGCTGGAAAATCAGGCGCTGCATCTCGGGCATCAATTTTTGTCCGATTTTTTATTTTTTTGAATTCTTTATCGGACAATAATTTTTCGAATTTATTTGTTGTGTCAACTAAAGAAAGTATTTTCTGTGCAATATAATCATCATTAGAAATATCTTGTACAAACGGTGATCGAAATCGATTTATCAATGCACATACAATTGATACATAAGCATGTATATTTTTCAACGATGAATTCGGAAATATTTGATTAAAAATTTTTCCATTGTTTTATTCGTCCGTTTACAGCTTCAATAACCCATCTCAATACAGTAATCAATAGATTATTATTGGCTTCCAAACTTGTATATTGACGTTGAACTCTTGGAAGAAATGATGGCATAAAAACTTGATAACCAAACGATTTAATAAGATCCAATGCATCGCGAAATCCACGATCAAAAATCATACAATCATTTTGACATAACCAATCTAAAATTTTCTCTTCATTATTTAACAGTATATGTCTAGTTATCGACGCATCATTGTTATAAAAATCAACCATATATGGTCCAATACAACTCACTATGTATCCATCGGTTGCTACGATTATCATAGGCTTAACTAATGGTCGACCTTTGTGCATACTAAATAAACGTCGTTGTAGAACATTATTTGATGATTTTTGGCAAAATATATATGTTGCATCTAATATGAGTATAGCATCATCACGTCCACTTAATAATAATTTTTTAGCTAATGATCGAGTATGATTTTGAATAATATCTTCTCGTGAAATGTGTTGAAAACCTAGATTTTTATGTACAAAATCTCGAAGTAATGCGGCTTTAGCACTTTCAATGACATGACCAACTTCGCGTTTTGACGAAAATGAAAAGAATGTGGCTAATACGCGATTACTCATACCCAAACGTAATTTTGTTAAAAGACAACCAATTGCATTACTAATTGTTCGATTTTCGCTATTTCGTAATTGAATAATGGATGTTAATATTTCAAATTGATACTTATTTAGACCAGTTAAACAAAAATAATCATCATCTGTATATCGAAATGGTGAATTAAAATCTAATGGTGGTCGAGGACTATTTGACATCATTTCATGATATCTTCTTAATTCTATTTGCATTTCTTGACAAAGGCCATATAAATTTTGAATAGAAGCATCTTTCGATGATTTTGATACATCTTCTTTCAAATTATCAATCGCCGATCGTTTGAGTTGACCATTTTCTACATGTTTTGGACAACAAGTAGATTTTTCACGAATATAAATTGTATTAAATATAAATGTTTGAATTCGAATTTGATCAGGGATTGTCATGTAAGATTTCCCATCATAATTTTGATGACAAATTGGACTAATACTGCGTGATTTTGGTAGAAAATAAATTGGACTGTTTGGCTGTGATATCGATGAAACTGTATTTGATGGTATTTGATCAGTTTGAGTTGACATATTTGATGTATGTTTTTGAATAGTAGTGACGATAGAATTTAAATTATTAACTGATGGGGCTGACTCAAAATCCATTACTTCAGATTGAATTGTTGCCGATGAATTTCTCTTCATTTTATTATGTCTGATATAGCAACTTGCACAAATAACTATATCATCTGGAAGATATTTTTGGTATAAAATGTGATATAAATGGTTTATTTGCCTAAACAAATCTGGACAATTTCTTAATGTATGCTGTCTTTCATTTCTCAATTTTGCATTACACAGCCCACAAGAAATATCGGTATATGGCATTATATGTTAGATTTTAATATATCTATAACCGAAGAAAACGTTTAATATTTCATAAATTAAAAATTCTAACTAAGAAAGCGTTAGATGGAAAAATAACAAAGAGGAACGAGCAGCAAAAGCCAAGAGCTTTTTTAGTTAAGGTAACCATCAGTATTTTTTATGAATTTGTTCAAATGCTCATTTTTCTTACACCTTTCGTATTTATAAACAAAAAATTATACTAAACTTATTCAAGAACAGCGAAGCTAAAATAAAAACATGATTTTTAAAAAAAGATCCTCGTTTTATATTTTTTAAACTAGTTCCATTCGAAAGAACATAAAAAGTTGTCTATATTCTATGACTATAACATTGTAACCTTATTTCAATCAAAAAACATAGGAAAATCACTTCAAAAAATCGAAAAAATTGGATTTTACCCCCCAAATCCTTGATTTTACCAAAAGTCCTCATTTTATATTTTTTTTTAAACTAGTTCCATTCGAAAGAACATAAAAAGTTGTCTATATTCTATAAATATAACATTGTAACCTCATTTCGTTTGAGCACAGTAAGAAAATCACATCAACTAATTGAAAGAAATTTCAAGATTTTGGCCCTGGTTTTACGATTTTTGATACAAAAAGTAGTTGTAAAACTTCTTTTTGCAATGCACTAGATAGAGCAATTAATTTTGGATAGGAGACACACTTTTTCCTGTTCTGCAATGCACTTTTACAAAGCACGTAGCGTGTTTTCTAATTATTATGGTCAATGATCTTCCCAAAGTAAAATGCATTTTTCGCCGTGATAATTCCATTTTTTCTCAACACCAAAGTGATATTCGAAATCAGCGCAAAATTCTGCATCGATTACATGTCTTTTTTAAAAGATCAGAGAAAAATAATTTTTCACTTTTCCTGAGGGGTACCACAGGTCGAAAAAACAGAAAGTCTGAATTTCGAAAAACGGTAAACGCCATTTTGTTCAGCATGTCGAATAACCTCTAATCCGATGGTTTTCATCAAAAAATATTCAGGGCCGAAAAATGGCCTTATCCTCCCCACTCCTTTAAAACTATCCCAATTAGCTGCTATCATAAGTACGTCTAAAATTTTCCTTCATCTGAACACTCGTCGAAGAAAAAAAATTAAATTGAATTTGACACTTCGAATAAAGTTCAAGTAAAATAAATATTAAATTATAAATTAGCTGATTACTTAAAACGATAAACGGTGAACACAGGCTAACGTATTTTTACATTTGAGACTTTATAGTAAAATTTCCTCTAATTCGAAATTTCTGTCTGTGGGTGAATCGGCGTGAAACATACCACTATTGTATCGCCCCTCGATGCCAACGGCGAGATAGCATGGACTTTCTGAAGCGTGCTGCGCTGAATTTATTCATGAAAATCACAGATCTGTAGCTGTTGCGGAAAAAACGTTATTGGCGTTTTACTCTCACACTCCAAAATTGACTCGGATGGTTTTAAATGAAAGAGCATTACAAATACTATACATGCAAAGAAAAAAACATTTGGACCATGTATGGGTTTTGAAATAAGGGACTTGGAAGATCCTAGTTTTCTAGAAAACCTTCTAACATCATACTGTATTCAAAAAGTTTTCTAACCACATGGTTCGACAGAGCGCTCAATTCTGAACAAAATGAGATATTTTGCAACCTTTTACACTGTAGGATGATTGAACTAGGGCCCTAGGCAAAATGTACGTATGTGAAATTCCTATTTTCAGTTTCCAGTCGGGTATTTTCTGGCACTTTTCGTATTTTTAATGCCAATTTTGGATGGCAGATTCTAGAAATGTCAGCAATATGTCATTTAGTTCAGAGTTGAGCGCTCCATCCAACGATGTGGCTAGATTAGGTTTTAGATAAAGTTTGATTTTAATAGATTTCCCAGAAAACTCGGATCTTCAGGATTCTTTATCTTCGGACTCCTACATAGGGGCTAAATAGTTTTTTCTTTGCATACATAGTATTTGCAATGCTCTTTCATTTAAAATCATCTGTGTCAGTTTTGGAGTAGGATGAGACTCGGTGTGAATTTCACATGAGGGTTTCACGTAGATGGAAAAAGCAAACTTCCACTGCTTTTGGTGGAGAGTAAAACGTCAATAACGCCAAAAGTGTAAGTATGGATAAATAAGGTTGATTTTTATTAATTCGTTCGAAGCTACTGATCCGTGCGTTTATAAGTTTTACTCAATTAATAGTTTTCTTCTATGCTTGTATCTCTCGCTTTGTGTTTTATTCTGTTTTGTTTATTTATTCTCTTTCGTCTAAGTAAAAGTAAGTCCCCTGTGTACTTTTTACCAATGTATTTTTTCAGCCCAAAGACAGATACATATCTGCAGTACACAAATAGAATAAAACAGATCATAGAATTATGGTTCACTTTCTTTTTAGGAGAATAATACAAGCACAGTTACAAGTCATCAAGCTTTCTTTTCTTTTTTTTAAGAAAAAAATTTTCCTTTTTTCTTTTGACGCTGCCAGTTAACTACTTTTCTACACAGTTGTAAGTAGAAATAAGCATGTTCTTTGATCGGAAAAAGCTGCGTAGTCTGTTAAAGTAAATACTTTTGTTGAATGTATGGCCGAATCTCGATAACTCAGAACACTGAAAGTGGAAATCCAGAGTGCATAGGATTGAAAATAAGAATGACGAAAACCTGAAATGTCGAAAAACAACGGAAGTGTGAGTTATGGAAGCGCACTCGTATCTGCAAAATATTTCTTGCTCATAGTTCTCTCGATAGATCTGCAAATCTTTTGTGTATACGATCATTTTGTGTCTGTGTGAAACTTCTTGCCTCTGTATTTGATGAGCTGACAGTAACAAGTATAGACCATAACAGGTCGATAGGTTATCAACTACGACGAATTCTTAGCATTTCGTACTTCATTTTCTTGTATCCACTGACACTAATCTTCCTCCACGCCCCTGATCTACACATTTATAGTGCTTATTCGATTGCCGTTTTTACATAATAACTAAACAATATTTTGGAGATACGCGTCCGCTTCCAAAACTCACATTTCCATCGTTTTTACCGTTCGAATTTCAGGTTTTCACCATTTTTATCTTCGATCTTATGCCTCGCAAGGTATCAAAAAGTCTCAACCCATGTACTAAAAATCGGCAATTAATCGTGAAAAATCATACGATTAATCGTGCGTTCAATCGCGATTAATTGCCGATTTTTTGGTGATTTTTAGGCGATTTTAGCGATTAATTGCAATTAATTGACGATTTTTTTCTAGGCACTAGGTTCGAACCCATCTTAGGAAATACATATTTTTTTCTGTTTTTTCATTGTTTATTACGTATAACGACATGTGCGTCAGACAGCAATGGTCTTAGCACCAGCTGGCGTCGGACTCTTGCCGACGAGTCAGCTTTAAACATTGCCCACATATCAGCTGTTTAGTGTGCTTCTCGGTTGAAAGCTCTGGGGAACAATAGAGAAGACTCTTGACAACTCCGTTGTATTCTAAAATAAAAAGATGATCTGAGTATAAGTGTATTTTTCGCTGAAATCGTGTTTCTTACATACAAACTTTATTGCAAAAGAAAACGGTGAATAACAACAACCATTTAATCACTTAAAATCAACAATTAATCGCGATTAATTGATGATTTTCGTGATTAATCGCTATGGTTGACAAAGTCTTCGATTAATCGCAATGCACGAAAAAATTATCACTTAATCGCAATTAAATGACCGTTTTTTCCCGAATCGCGATTAAGCGTCAATTTTTTCAATCATCGCGATTAATCGACAAAAATGAAGCGATTTTTAGCACATGGGAAAATGCAAGGTTTTAGAGCAATGGACGTAGTTTTTCGTGTTATGGTTTCAACAGTCCAACCAAAGGGACTCAAAACTGAGTCGATTGATATGTATTTCGAAATTTTTAGTTCATTTTTATTTTTTGATGAAAATCTCAATGATTTTTCAACGTGAAAATTCGAAAAAAAAATAAAGTACCCGCATATGATAGAAATACACATCAATCGACTCAGTTTTCGACCCTGGTTCCGAATATGATATTTGTATTGCATGAAAGTTGAGCTATATTTAATAAGAAAAAAAAAGAATTAAAAATAGGAATTACTAGCAGAATTCCGACTTTTTCGTCTCTTATTTAGAAAAAATGAATTTTCTCAGCAGTGAAAAAGAATTTCAAAAACGTGTACGTATACTTTTGAAGAGGAGCATCTGACGGATCGAGCCATATAAAAATATTGCCTCTACGGCCTCTAGAAATACCTGTGTTAGGGGTGCCAAAATGCGTTTGGTTTTTGGGACATGCGCATTTCGGGATTTTTTGCAAATAGGCGTTGGGACCAAAAAACGTTTCCAGACTATTTTCTTATTCAGTTTTGAATGCTGAATCCAAAAGCCTTTGGTTGGACTGTTGAAACCATAACACGAAAAACTACGGCCATTTCTCTAAAATCTTGCATTTTGAGACTTTTTGATACTTTGCGAGTTTTTTCGATTTTTGAACCACAAAAGAACGAAGAGACATATACTCGTGTCCAACGCGAAATTCTCTATCGAATGGTGTGAAAAAGAGCAAAAAGTAAATCTCACTGAAATTTTGAATTATGTGCACCTTACTTTTTACGTCATGCTATATGCTGGAAGGCTCGGGGAGGTCATAAATTGAAGGAAACAATTTTCTGTACAGGTCGACAGAGTCAGGTCCTACTATAGTAAAATGTAGGGGAAAAGTAGAGCACATTTTTAGTGTTTGGCTAATTTTTA